ACTCATAAACCCATGTCTCGTCGCCAGTTATTATACGTTTTATAAAGGTCGGATCCGTAGAAGCTCGGGAAACCATGTCTTCAGCGACATGCTTTCGCTGCGCTCTTTGAACAAAATTGAGCTCTTTTGGAACTAGTTGACGGCGATTCATCATTAATCTCAGGGTATGCTTGACCTCGCATATCAGAAACGTACTTTGGATATCACTATTAATTTTATTTAATCTTATAAAAATTGAAAATAATTTTATCTAGCATGAATACTCTGCAATGTTCAAAATTACTCTTGAATATAACTTTGCGATCTGATAATGGTCACGTACAAGTTAAAGCAAGACATAAAGACTGAGACTGAGCTTAATGGATGTTAGTCGCTGCAATAAACGGTTGGATACTGAATTCATTGTCTACAAAGAAAACGTAGTTATAGCAGATTTATAGGAGAGCACTGTAAAATCTTCTACATCTTATATTTTTGTAGTTTAAGTTTATATTATATAATTTTAAGGCGATTTAACATGTTTATTACTGTTTCAGCATTGGCGTCTTTTAAATGTTTGAAATAAAATAAGACGAGCAAGTATAGTGTAATTAATATACCATGTTTTCCCATTTCAATTTTTTTACGTTGCCATCTAAGCTATACTAAAAATTTCAAGTCTCTTAATTATCAAATAGCTAAATTGAGATGTTAGTTTTGAATCAATTACTAAATTCGACATGAACAAATATAAAGAAAGCAAGTTCATTTATTTTTCCCAATTTTTAATCATATTCTTGCATTACCATTCGAATTTGAGCTATATTCAAAATTCAACTTCCTAACTCATGGGGAAGTCAGTTCAAAATCAATTAGTTGATCTCACCGGGAACGACTTTTAGACAAACAAGAATTTATTTACAGCATTTGATGACAAAGGAGCATACAATCCATAAGTGGATACTGTGACCCATAGGCATCCACATTTATTCTCTATGATGGAATATGAAGGGCTATGATGGAATGCCTCGATTTCAGTAAAAAAGATCTCCGGTCCTCTACACTCGCCATACGAAACACAGCAACATCACGTTGCTATTTTACGCTGATATTCTGATAGAGCGTGGTCTTGCCCTTTGTTGAGCCGACCCATTCATACTACAACTATATTATAGCTGCAGCGTGGCTCTACCATGTAACTTAATAAAAAAGTGAATTAATAAAAACGTGTGACATTCAAATTAATTATAATAGTAAAATAGTATTTATGTTATGTGGTTAACATTTCAATAGTTTATAATAATATTGCAGAATAATATTGATAATTAACTCGATTATAAACACGTGTTCATTTTAGTGTATTATCCATAAGATGTTAAAAAAGACATAAATCCTTTGTTAGGCTGTATACTTGTGAAATAGTACGTTGTTATTCATGAGACATATCCGTATATAGACAGTTTATAAATATCCGTCACCCCACTTAAGTTTGATATCCTATGCTACAATCTCTCATAATTTCAGAACTAACGATTGGCTTAGCTAAAGGTTATTCATATCACCTTCAGAGTCACCACACCACACCTTTTACATTTAAAACGTATTCTGGGTGCATGTGTATTATCAGGGAAGCAATGGAAGATAAATGTTACCTTGTCACCGCTCAACATTATATTTAATAATAGACAGAAACATGGGCTCTGTTGAGAGGATGAAACATTACCTAATATATTAAGCGTTATTACCTAAAGCGTGATTAAATATTTCAACATCTGGTATTCAAAACACAGCAACTTCTTTTCTATATCAAACGTTGCACTTTTAATTTAAAATTTGCAATTTTATTAGCTTTAACAACAGGGAAAAAAGTTCAGATTCTTTTATTAAATGTCATAATATTAAGCAAAATTAATAAGACCTGGGTATACTTCTAACAGAGATAAAGATCAGGCAAATTTACTTCTATATTGTCACTATCATAACTAAATAGCAAATATAATAGTTGTCCAGTCAAAATCTCTTTTAACTACTTAGAAGTAACTGAAAAAACTAGACTATAAGGTCTGGTTGAGCGACTAGATTGCCTTTTCAATTTCTGAGCAAAGGAACACAAAATGGGGCCATAGATTCCTGGGTTCGAATCCGGAACGAATGACCACAAATGGTTGAGCTAATGGTTGCCAATTTAAATTCGGAATGAAGGGTCACAAAATGATAGGGTCCCGTGTTCGATTTCGAGAAAATGACCCCGAATTAATTAAAAGCGTGATTAAATAAAATGAACTGTGTATGCGTAGTTAGTTATAACGAAAACAATTTGATGTGAGGGCTAAGACAAAGTATCGAAAAATAAAATCCCCTACTCCTCGTCACGTCCACTGCTGCACTGCATAGGCCCTTTTGAAAGAAATACTACCATAAATTACGCTGTCCGTATAGTGAAAAATACTTCCAGAAAGTGTTAAGTAGTAGCTGGAAACAAGTAATCCTATTACAGTGTCAACTTTTCAAAGAATCGTTTCACTGTAAGCTCCTTATTCAGGTGCATCCAGGCTTTCGGTGTGTTTATAATTATTTATTGGGTTTTAAGTTGGATTTGTGATTCCACTTCAAATATTTTTTTTTGTAATGATCTATTATTACGGGAAATGAAACTTGAAACTCACAATCACGAATTTGCTCGCATTTATTCGTCACCATCACCATCATTAGCTTGCAAAAAGTCTCCTGTCGCACATGACCCTCTACTATTGTTGAGAGGATTTGCCCTCAGTCAAGTTTGATTGGCGTATTTGTATGAGGCGTTTCGCACCATTGTCCCTGTTTCTTCTTATCGCTTTTCGGAAGCCACCTTTTTGATATAGATCATTGTCTACTCTTATGATACGTACGGCACAAAATAGTAATGGGTTCTCTTACGCCTCATCACACTTTAACTTATTTTACGGTGAAATTGATTAATATTGAGATTCTGATTCATCTTAAAGCGTACTCCTAATAGAACATAAACAAGCAATTTACAATTGCAAGAACTTTTGTTTACTTATTTATTCTTTATTGTACACCAAAATGCAGAATAACGAGTAGAGTTAAATCTAAACTATAATATGTACAACAGGCGGTCTTATCACTTTGAAAGTGATCTCCTTCAGACAACCTTTGCGTAGAGAACTGGTGCAAACAATATTTACAATAGACGGAGCGAACAAAATTCGTCGGCTCGACCAGGTAAGGAACACGCCGTCACGGAATACCAGCGTAAAATAACTGAACAATGCTGCTGTGTTTTGTATGGTGAGTGACGAAAACCGAGGAGACCCTTTTTACTGGAAACGAGACATTCCATCTCAGCCTTCACAGTCATTAATTCTTAATCGATATTAGATGTAGATGTCTATGGGCACAACATCCACTTATCAACACGTGAACTGTGTGCTCGTTTATCGCCCTATTCTATATATTAATGTTATATATAATTACTACGTACTCATTTTAATGTAATCATTAAACCTACCTTAACCGATTATTACTTACAATATGTTATGGGTTTTAATCCGACCTCGTTTAAGATTAACTTTCATCCAATTTTGTGACATCTTGATTTACAAATAATTAAAAGTTTACTAAACCTTATTTCAATAGTCAGAATTATTAATATTATAAGTTGTAATCTATGGTAACCGCTGTTAACTATGACATCTGGACGTTCAACATCTCAGTGCCTCCGTGACCATGGGTGCTGTAAAGCGCTCGAAACGTAGGGTATTTATAGTTAAATATACGCGATAAAATCCGTAAAAACTAGTATTATTTCAATGTGTAGTGTTCGCGTAAATATAAGAAATCATTATCCACTTAGAATCCCTATGATGTGCATAGGGACGTCATCGATTAGTAATCAATAGGCGTTGTCATCTTGAGGTCTGAGATGAAATAGAAAAGCTAATAGAGAACTCCTTTCGTGTGAAACGAGGCATTCCGTCTTGGTCTTGGCGGACGAAAACGCATCTGCATTTTGATTTGTAATCGAGGATAGATGTCTATGGGCCCAAGCAACCACTAATTATCAGGTGGACTGTGTGCTCATTTTCACCCTAATCATGTATAAAAAATGCATCATCATCATCCGGTTCCCGTCATTCACCTTATGAAACAAAGCAGCATTAATATATTAAGAAGCGCTAGTATTCTGAGCAAGTCTGGTCCTTCTCGGGTTGTACTGACCGATTCATGCTGCAGCAATATCGCACTAAAGCGTATTTTTATCACATAATTTTTTATTTAGCTCTGATATATGGCATATTTATACTTTTTCGAAAAACAAGACACTAGGAAATTTCTCAAACAATTAAGATGACCGATTGAACCCGATTGAGGTTCTGCAAATTAAAATGGCAGTAAGTTGGCCTCAGAAAATCAAGCAATTTTCGCAGTTTATCTCCTGTAAAAACTTATTAAGTCCCTTGCAGTCTGGCTTTAGGCCCGGTCATAGTACCGTTTCTACACTCCTGAAAGTAACTGGTGATATAAGGGCAGGCATAGAGGACTCTAAAGTGACTGTGTTGGTTTTAGTTAACTTCTCGAACGCCTTTAATACCATCAGTTATGATATTCTACTTTTAATCTTTTCCCCCGCTATGGTCTCATCCAAAGCACTGGATTGGTTTTTATCATATCTTCGAGGGTGTCCGCAGTCGGTTTGCATCGATGAGCAGTCATCTAGCTGTGTTAATAAGTGCAGAAAATCTTAGATAGGCCACTAAAATATGAGCGCAGCATGGGTTGTGTCATTATATTTATTATATTCATTGTCTCACTTACACCAATTATGAAAAAAAAATTGTTTCTAGCTGTGGTATAGTAAAGTAAATATTTTAGCATATCCTCCTAGTATTTATTTACAAAGGACAAGTCTTTCATAACGCAATTTAAACAGATATTTTATACTAATTGTACTCCAGTTTTCTGGAAAGCTCTTTGGTCCAAAGTAACACGTCGCCGATACTATTATTTGGTTACCATTAAAATTTAAAGGGATTCCTTTTTCTGAAAATAAAAAGGACATTTTATACAAACTCAGTTGAACCGTTTTATATATTCATTACGGTAAGGATTGGTTCTGGTAAAAAGTTGAAACTGTCTATCCCATTTGTATTCATGTTGCATTTCGTTTAATCTAGATACCCTTGTTCACGCAAACATCAGTGTTATATTTGCAGTAATATTTATACAGAGGTTTTTTTTTTTAAATAAAGGAAATATTATGCGCACGATTGATCATATTAAGTTTTTGGTTAATAATATTTAAAAAAAAACTTTACTCTAACTTTACTAACTTAACACTACTCGTTGAGGCGTCTTACTTAAAGATATACTAACTAACTACCTTACATAAACATAAATTGCACATAAACAAACATCCCAACAAACACCCATACAAACACTTCCGCGCAGGAATCAAATCGTGGCCCCCAACACCACAGCCAAACGCTAAGCACTACCAAACCGTGAACATTACAAATTAATAAAATATAATAAAAATAAATACTTCTATATGTTTGTTACATCAGGAGTAAGATTTTTTTTTGTTATTATATAGTTTTTTTTTAAATAAATCTAATTGGATGTCTCTTGGAGTAGCAGGCTTACTTGCTCGCTAGTTGTCTCTTGAAGTAGCAGGCTTACTTGCTCACTAGTGCAACTTCGAGTCCTAATATTTTTCCGCCGACACTACGAAATAAATTCCAAAGTACAGATTCTATAAAACTAGCAGCTCATTTTTGGGTAGATGTTTTTTGTTTACATGAGAGGGGGCAAACGAGCATGCGGCTCACTTGATAGTTAGTGACTACCGCCACCCATGAACAACTGCAACACCAGGTAAATTGCAGATGCTTTGCTGGCCTTTAAAAAAGTAGGCTCTTTTATTGAAGGTCCCTAAGTTGTATTGGTCCGGAAAAATCGCTAATGGTAAACTATGTACAAGGAGTTTGTGCAAGTAAGAAGACTTCTTGTAAATCCCACAGCATAGAACCGCCAATGATCCAGATAGTATCTCGATTTCTGTCGCGATGTACGATGGTGAAACTGGGAGGCTGAAATTAATTCAAAAAAATCCTCTGAGCACTTCTCGTGGTCAATGCGATAGAGTAGGTAAAGAAATTCAAAATCTCTTCGTAGCGTCAATAAGTCGAGTCGAAAGTGCTCGGTCACCGACGATTTGAACCGCTCTGCGCTGGTTGCGATAAATGGAACGAGGTGACACTGATGAGCCCTGGCGGAAAGATGGGAACAGTATACCATGTGAGGCCCAACCTGCGCCTAGTAAAGTTGCAGGTAGTGTACCTGAATAAAATACTATCCTGCTCTGCTGAGCAGGCAAAGCTTCAGGCAGAGGCAGATCTTAGCCTCCAATGAGTACCACAGATGATGGAATAAATAATTCCAGTCCCTGTTACACCACATCAGTGACAGAGTTAGCATGGGTAGGATGCAAAGAGAGACCGCATTCTGTCTCAATCCGCTGATCTGTAGTATCAAACATGGCGGCAACCTGCAGAACGTAACCGCGAATGGAGCGGGAGTGGTACCACACACCGGATCAGACAATGATCTGAAGAGCCGAGAGGTGCGTTGACGGTAGTCTGATATCCGTCTGGATGAGAGGACAGCAGATGGTCCAAAAGGGAAGGTATATGATCTTCCACATCTGGAATCTGCGTAAGCGAAGTAACCAGTTGAGTCAGACTATATGCCAAGGCAAAGTCAAAAACAGATCTCCCCACACGATTGGTATAACGTAAACCAAGGCACCCATAGACGCAAGGGACAACCCGTGGTCGTCGCTGTCTTCGCGCAGCCAAAGGATGGATAGGTCGTACCTTCAAGACTGCTGAGGCGTCGAGAACATATATCCTCTCTGACGTATACGCAAACTCTAGCTCGAGGTACAAAGAAGTGTTCTAATTTGTACCCCGGGTAGGCAAGACACGAAGTCACCCGGAGAGGACACCTGCGTCTCGATCAAAAAGAGCAAGGCCGTTTTCTCTGTCCCCAGATTGTAGTGGACGGCGTTAATAATACAATAAAAATGAAACTAAGATGTTCTGTGACATACCCAGGTATCGGTATGTTTCAGCCTTGGAAAGGGTCCTTAAGTTGACGGGCATAGACAAGTCTATACCCTCAGAGTTAGCAACCCTTCCCCTTTCAACATGGAGGACCGCACACTTATCCGTCCCCAGCTCCATTTCAATGGAACTGCTAAATTCACAAGTGATGTTTAGCAGTTCCATAAGATGGGAGCGACTGGAGGCGAATAACTTGAGGTCATCCATATAGAAAAGGTGGGTCACTTATGTCCCTCCTTTCCGTAGCTGAAATCCCCTCCCGGAGCCCTCCAGTAAGGTACTGAGAGGGTTAAGAGAGAGGCAGAACCAGATTGGACTCAGACAATCGCCCTGGAAGATACCCCTTCTTATCTTTAAGTGGTTCTCCGCAGCCGTCATCCGCTCACACAGAGGAAGTCTCTAACTGTACAGTCAATCTTGTACAGCTCGAGGACCCTCTTTAGCCATGTATGGGGCACCGAGTCGAACGCCTTTCTGTAGTCTATCCAGGCGGCAGAGAAGTTCCGACGGTTGCGTTTCACCACTTTGCCTATGACCGCGTCAATGAGGAGTGGTTCCTTAGTTCCACGACCACAGCCCCGACATCCATTTTGAGCGCGTGACATCACCTGGTTTAGCTCCAGGTGACGAGTGATTCTCGCGCTCAAAATGGATGTCAGTGTCTTATATATGGTGGGTAGATACGTGATGGGGCGGTATTTGCTCGGGTCTGTGGTATCCTGATCTTTAGGAACCAAGTGAGTGATCCCAGTAGTGAAGAGGCTCGGGAGTGACTTCTGGTTGAGAGCCTCTTGAAACTGTCGGGCGAGCACAGCGTGACACACTACGAACCCCTTCAGCCAGTAATGATGCAGCCCGTTGAGCCCCGGACTTTTCCAGTTCGGGGCCCTACGGACCACCTCAGCCACGTCTTCTGGCGTTATGGTGATGGGGTCCATAGGCGTAACACTCGCACCCTGGCTCGCCACAACTTCCATCCAAGGGCCCTCACTGTGGTTTACGGGCTCTGACCACAGGCCACGCCAGAATGCGATAATGTCAGCCTGATCCGGTCCTTGGCCCGCTCCACATACCTTTGGTCGCTCCAATAATTTATAGAGCCTCTTCTGATCACTCTGGAAGAGACGATTCTGGTTGAACCGCCTTGACCCCTCGGAAAATCGTCGAATCCGCTTCCCCCAAGCAGCGATCTTTTGCTTCAGGTCGTCTATGCGCTCCGTTAGTTTCTGCGTGATATCCGGCTGGGACAAACTGATATTTGTCCCAGCAAACGCCATCCTAACGGTGCGCATAATCCTCGGTCTATTATTACCCGACCTGAAGCTTGTCAGTCTGCCGATAAGGGCCCTTGCCTTTGCGATACGGTCCTCGATTCTTTTCCACCAGGCTAGGATGGCGTTAGTTTGTGTAGTAGCGCGTCCAGCCGTGGGAAGTTTGGCGCCAATAATACGGCAAACTGCCACTGCGGCGCCAAAGAGAATCGAGTCCTTTGCGATCTCGCAAAGGTCCCGGCTGGCTTCCAAATAGGTCACCAGCATTGGGTTAAGAGCCCTCACGACAGCCCGATTTCGCTTGCTTAAGGGTATGCGGGGAAGTCGCGGTCGATTTTCGAGAGGGGTGCTGCGCGTTTCCAAAATCGCCTCTTCCAATATACTCCTCATTTGCTCTAGTTCGTGGGAGACTATTTCATTGTCGTTCGAATCAACCACAACTGGAAGATCCATGGCGGCTTCCACGTGTGGATGCTGGTCTGTCGAATGTGGAGCTGCATCTCCAGCCATAGCCAATTCATTCAACGATGGAATAGCCTCACGTCGTAGTCGTTCGAGTTCGGCATCATCAAATATTTTCGAGCGCATGATGTACCGAACTCGGTCTGCTAGGTTTTGTTCCATGACGGGGATAGACGGCTCCAGCTCAGCAAAAAAGCAATGCATCCGAGACCTATACGCTATTCCCACAGTTTCTTCCCCTTTCGCCCTATAGTACGCCCGCAATGCGTTTTCGTTCATGGATTTTGTCCAACGCATGCGACGTGCTCCACCAGCGGCGGGTGCCGCTTGCTGGGTCCGAGAAGACCCAGCCGACACCAAGCCTTCTGGTGGGGATGATGGATGCGAAGGGCTGCTAGGTGATCGTGCAGCTCCTCGCACTCGGCTGGCGGCCCGCATGCTGACGCGTCCAGCGCCAGCTCCAGACGCGCCCCGGCGACCCCCAGGCAGCGGCCCTATGCGCGTTCCTTTTTGTGTTTTTTCCATCATCCATTTTATGGGCGCCAAATAACGGGAGACGCCGAAGCCCGGCATCGTTTCGTGGTTGGGGCATATGCACAAACGGACCTTTGCATCTACAATTTTGCCTAGGCACCGCGCTCACACCTCTTGGCAGGATGCTGACTGACTGCGCCAACGTCCCAGTTTTGTCACATAACTGTTACGTCAGCGGGCGATGGGGTTGTCACTTCCCTACGCCTTTTTATTATTATTATTATTATTATTATTATTAAAAGCAACCAATGTTCTTAGCACTGTACAGCAGGGTATGATAATTTTAGTATTTAGCTTTTATGTTTAAAAAAAAAAACTTTATGTTTAAACGTAATCGAGCCATACTATTCTATATAGTCTACATAACTCCACATTAATAGATCTTACTTAGGCAAACCGGGACGGAACGCTAGTAAAAAAATATGAAATAGGAGTTTAAAACGCAATCGACATACACTGCCAGGCATTGGAGCGCACTGCCTCTATCCCTCAAACTCCTTCGTCAAACAAAGTTTTATTGAATCGTTTGAATGGTGACGTAGCGCGTAGATATTAAAACAGCCGCATATTTTCTGATTTCTTTTTCTCTGAAAAACTCTTAGTGCTTTACCCTCCAGGATTCCGGAAAAAAATTATTCGATATTATTTAAAAGTTAGGTTTTATTGTATATCAGAGGTCTGTACATGTCAAAAAAATGCAACAAAAATTATTGTTTTTTAATATAGGTTATATATATATATATATATATATATATATATATATATATATATATATATACACATATATATATACATATATAAATATATACACATACATACATGCCAATGGCTACTTATGTTATATGTGTATTACACATTATTTTATTAACTATTATAATATTGAAATGCAAAATAACATTTCGGATTCCTATTTTTGTATGTCTGTTGCGTGAAAACCTTTTTGTAACCTATCAAAATGAATGAGGTGACTTCTCACAAGCGTTTTCTGAGAATAGACTTTTCACCAAGAGTATATACATCTACAGTCAACTCGGGACAAGTCTTGTGGAGTTACTAAAGCCAATATAAGAAAATTCAGGACAACAGGGTTTTGTTTTCCTGGACAATATTGCCGTATTCCATACTGACCTCTAAACGGCACTATCATCTCATCAATGCTTAATTCAATAGGTTTTTTTTTTGTGCGTGACACCCTCACAAGATAGAGTGAAAATGTGGATTTGCCTTCCATAGCTTAGTTTTTAGTTTTTATTCCTTTGATACCTTAGTATAAAAAACTACTTTTAGACTTTTTCTTATTTTAAAATTTCTATTTCGTTCGTTGCCTTTATTATAACCTAACTCCCGTATGTGTGAGACCAGAATAATGTTATATTTGGTAATTTGGTAAAATAACCCCTACCTATCTATCCTACCTACCTACCCCCTACCTAACCATCCAAATACGGTGCCTACCTAAGACCAGGGCGATTTAGGTAGTATTTTAACCCTTCTCTCGGCATGCTGGGCTCTGCCGGGGGTGAATGAATATTTCCCTAGCTAATCGTGAGGCCAAAATTGACGAAAATTGACATTTTGAAAAAAAAAACAAAGAAAAATCTCCTCTGATGAACTATCTGTAGGTTTGGAAAAGGCTCTTTTAGCTGTTTTAGCTTCCTTTCTCACCAATACGCTGAAACACTACGCCCAATCTAGGACGAGCCGTGAAGTGGAGGGCACGTCTGCAGCCCTGAACCAGGAAGAGGAAAAGAATAAGTTCGCTAGGCCTTATAAGCTTAGTGGGGCAGTAAGGAAGAAGTACCGAAGGCTGATAGCAGCTGAGATAGTAGCCGAAGAGGCCCTCTCTCTCTGCCAGAAGCCCTGCGACGAAATTTCTCTATCAAAACCTCCCCCAGATCCGAAGGCGAAAAAATGCAGTTGGTCTGAGGAAGATTCCCCCAAAGACCAGCCCTGGAAGTCTGTGAAGCTAGCAACCGCGCGTATGGGAATTCGCAATTTGAATCCTATGATCATGGAGCAGATGCATCTTGTCCACCGGACACTAACACAGGCCATCGCTAAGACGGCCTGTGGGGCGCAGCCGAGAATGGGACCAAAATTTTCGGGTTTCACTCACAAGAATAGTATAGAATTCAAATAACGTACCTGAATAAGGCAAGCCAGGGTTTGATTGTGAGTGAAATCAGAAAACTGAAACCATGGCCAGAAGCAGAGCTCTCGATAATACCCGAGGACGAACTGCGTAAGCCTCAGCTGGCCATCACCTATTCACCTCGCAACGAAGCTCACTCTCCAGAGGAGGTGGCGGTGCTATTGAGGGCAAAAAATGAAGGGCTCTATACCGAGCTCTGGAGAATTCTACACCGTACGGACGAGAAGAATAGGTTCCTAGTAACCTTTTCTCTGGACGACCCATCGGCGGATGCTCTTCGGAAGGCAGGCGACAGAGTCGTCCTTGACCTTAAAATAATAAATTTTAAAGTCAAGGGAGGCTCTGACACGGTGATGGAGCCTAAATCACCCTAACTCCAATCCCCCCAGCCCTCCACCTCTCGAGGTGAGACTGGAAAGACAACAGTGAGAGTGACGAAGACCCAAGGCGCTGATCTCGCCTCGGTCCAACGGCCTCCGCCAGTGTCGTCCAGGGGTGGGTGGAAGGGAGGTGGGAGCGGTACATCGTAAGGTAAGGTGAGGGTCAAGAGCGCCGGTAAAGAACGTCTTCGTCCTCAACAGGCGGGAAAACCCCAAAACCCCAAAGGTAAGTTGAGAATCTTTCAGGCAAATCTTCACCATGCAGCAGCTGCTTCCGTCGTGGTGGAGGTTTGCCTTTTGTACGAGGGCACGGTTTTTGGGTGGCCAACGGTCAAGTTCTGGGATTGTCGAACTTGTGCTGAGTTGTGATGCTAATACTTACCACACAACCTGGAGTTACACTAACATCAACGAAAGAGGTGAGTTAAACATAATAACATAACATAAACACTCACGCCTGTCACCCAGAGGGGTAGGCAGAGACTACGGACTTCCATTTGGCACGATCCTGACATACCTCTTTCGCCTCCTTTACATCCATATATCTACGCATACATGCTCGTCGATTAAGGGTACTTCTAACGTGGCCCCTTTTCAAAATATCGCCAATTTGGTCGATAAACTTTTTTCTAGGGCGTCCCTTCCCGACTCGGCCGTTCACATCTGCCATATAAATTTGCTTTGACACACAAGAAGTGAGTTATTTTATAATTTTCTCATCTCTAACTGACTGGTAAGTCTAAACTTAGGATGTACACAAACATTTGTAAAGCATGCTAGGCAAGAAGTGTTAGGTATAAACTTTGCTACCAATAACATGGACATGCGGATAAATGACTGGGATGTTAGTAGTGAAAACTCGACGTCTGAGCACAAACACATTAAGTTTGTAATTGGAGCATCATCAACCTATGAAATCGTTGCTTTAAGGGATCCAAAGGCGACCATCTAGGATATCTACAGAGATGGCCTAAAAATGAATTTGGAAACGTTTCATTATACACTTTACATATTTAATGGTGTTACAACGTTCAATTTATATTACAAAAATTGTAATAAAGAATTTAACTAAAATAATAATTAAAATTATAATATTAAAGATTAAAACTAATTATATACAACATAAAAGAAGAAACTATAATATAGAAAATCTAAAACTAAAAATTTAAATCGTCAAAAAGACCTGCTCCCCGTGGTATAGTGCCAATAACGCTGGCTGCGTTTCCTCGCTGAATAGCTATACTCAGCCTTTGAGCGAGGAAAGAACCAGCCCTCTTATCACCAGCAGCGACGGCCAGTCGTGGATACATTTCCTTTAGAAACTTCATTGCACGTGGACCCCACGGACCGATAGTCTCTACAGCAAATGGCACAAATATGTAGTCATTTCTCAAAGACTCATATTTGCACCATTTACTAAATTCGGCTACCTCTGACGCCGCCCCGGCTCTAAAAGAGGTACCCTTGAGATGAGAGGCCGCCAAAGTGTCAACGCAAGTAGCATCCCACACTAGGGCTTTACCTCTCTCCCAAGGGACCAAAGTCATACCGTAGGGTCTCTTGCCATCGTCTCTAAATATCCCGCTAGGCTCTAAAACCGAGGGGATATTTATAGAGACAAGAGCCCTTCGGATGATTTCGTTCAAAGAACCGTGACGGGAAAACCTACCTGCACTTTTCTTGCATGAAAATCCGTGGAGCCCAAACTCATCGACGCTGCTACCACAGGGGTACTGGTGAGGTTGACAAATAGCCACTCCTAGCCGGATTCCTACTGCGATGCGCAAGCTTTCCCCATGAAGCAATGTGCCGAGATTACTTGATGGTAGAGCATGTAACCAGTGGCTAGATTCCTTAGTCGAAACAGCTAGAAGGCGAGCCTGATCTTGTTGAATATGGAAATTTTGAAATAAATTTTTCTGGACACTCCGTACCAACGGAATATCCCACTGTTTTTGTTGGTTAACTTCCAGTGGGATATTTTTGCCGGGACAGATCGTCAGCCAAACATGGCTTGCCTCCGAAGGAAAGCACAGGTCTACTTTATTATTTAAAATTGTGTTACATAGGTCATTGACACTATGCACGGAACCAAGGAAAGCAGGCAATGCGACGCTAGAAATATTTCTTACACCAATTCCACCAAATTTGATAGGTAAAGTGGCTTGATTCCAGGCTATTGTATTTAATCTCAAATTTAGAATGTTTTCTAAAGCAATTTTAAGATTACTATCAATATCTTTTAAAATATCCGAACATTTCCAGATTGGACTTGAGCGTAACAAGTATGTAAATTAAGGTACAAGGAGACAATATTTTAAAATGGTAAGGGCAATATGGGGGTTTAAAATATATAATTTATCAACGTGATTTAAAAATTGATCAAATTTTGTTTTTAAAACAGGTTTATACTATCGAAAAACAACGGAGCACCAAGCAGGTAAAGCGATTCCGAATTG